CTGATCACTTTTAAAGATAGTAATTCATTTGTAAAGGAAGTGACATAAAGGTGAACCAACCAGAACACAGACTAGTGATTTATAATTGTACCACGCAAAGCAAATTTAGTTCAAAAGAGCACATTTTCAGATTGAGGACTCAGGACACACATCAGCAGACGGACAAATCAGAAAAGATAAAGTATGGTTTTTTCAAAAACCTTTCAAGCCATAATTTATCTAGACAAAGTTGAGCCCAAATATTTGAAGTGATTGATGATATGCTCTTCCTTTGTGTGGAAAAAATATAGGGTTTTTTTTTGTTTGTTTGTTTGTTTGTTTGTTTTTTGCCATAAACCTGCTGCAATTCTAGGAGGAGACATTCAAAAGATTGTTGAAAGTTTCAATAGTTCCTCTGAAGCAAACACCTCAGAATGTCATTTCTGAGTCACTCCTAAAGTTTGCTTCATGTTTTCGTACACCACATAACTGATGCCCACAGCAGGGAGCACCTTCATGAAGTTGGGAGTGATGCCTCTGTAAAGTCCTGGTATTCCTTCTTTGGAAATTATTCGCTGGAAGAGGCCAACCATGTTGAGCTGTGGGGCTCCTTCTACCATGGCTTGAGCTTGCATGCGAGTCCTCACCAAAGCCAAGGGGTAGCTGGCCAGCTGGCCGCATGTGCTGGACAGGGCACCACACCCCAGCAACACCATGACGCCGGGATTGGCAGAGTCTTTTGCAAAATTATCCAGCCAATGGGACTTTAAGAGCTCATACACAGCAAGGTCTATGCCCGCATAAGGTATGATGCCTAATAAATTGGGAACATAACCTTTGTAAAAAGCTCCTAAGCCTCCATGTTTCAAAATCTTCTTGGCACAATCATACATTCCAGAATATTGGCCAGTTTTACCTACTGCCAGCCTGGTTTTCAAAACCTCCATGGGATAAATGAAAGTTTGTGCAGTTGCTCCAGCCATGGACCCAGAAATAAATCTCTCAAAGGTTCCTATCTTTTCTCCTTCCTCAGTAAGCAACTTCTTGTACTGTTCATATGCCCAGAACTTAACAGCTGTCTCAGGAGCAATTTTAATAACATTCGTTCCATTTCCTCTCCAAAGGGAGCGGATTCCTCCTTCTTTTACCATCTGCCAAAAGCCACCAAATATGTTCATTGATTTTGAACCGTGAACCTGCATCATGACCTTCAGGCGATCCAACGGAGCGGTGCTTGTTCGTGAGACGGCGCCAGCGACGCCTCCCGCCAAAAGCTGCCGCCACCACTGCCCGGACTTTTTCTCATCTTCTGTAAATTCATCTGGAATAGCTATACTATCCCCTATGTCAATTCCGGTCGAGTGTTTCCAGAAACGGATAATTTCCTCAATATCTGTAACGGGATTAAATAAGAAGTAGTCCCTCCATTCATTCCAGTCCACTGTCATTGTCCCGTCAGCATCAATGTTTTGAAGAATCAGCTCTGCTTGTTTTTCAGAAATAGTTAGCCCCAGGATCTGGAGAGACTGGACAATCTCTGAAGCGTCAGTCTTTCAATCATTGTTTTTGTCCAAACTCCTAAATGCCAACTTCATTTTTTTCTCGTGGTCTTTAAGATACTTCATAAATTCATCAAAATCCAGCTTCCCATCTTTGTTGACGTCTCCAGTTGTAAAAATTTTCTCCTCCGCGTCCCGGCCCAGCGGGATGCCCAGGTTCTGGAGCCCCTGCTGCAGCTCGCGGATGTCCACCACGCCGTCGCCGTTGCGGTCCAGCGCCTTAAAGAGGGTCTCGTAGCGCGTGGGCGGCTCCGCATCCTGGCAGGCGGCCCGGGGCAGCGCGCAGCCCAGCAGCCAGCGCAGCATGGTCCCGCGGGCACGCAGGGCTCCGGAGCGGGGTGGCCAGGCTGGTAGCGGCCGGGCGGGGAGCTGCCGGTAAACTGTTTCCTTTTTAATGCAAATGAAACAGTGCTGTAGTAAGTATTCTGGTATATAACTTTGGACAACAATTTCTGATTGTTTCCAGACTGAAACTTAAATTATTAAATCAAAGAATATAAATATTAAGAAAGCTATTAAGGTGATATGTTGAATGGCCCTTCATGAAAACTGCATTAATTTCTCTTTGGTACAAGTAAAACTCGTTAATTCTGGTTCATTACAAAGTAACTATAAATAAGTGGATAACAGAATGGATTAGTCAGCAGTGGCTTGCTGCAACAAAGAGAGAAAAAGAAAGCCACTCTCCTTCTACTGACAAACAAGTGTCAGTGGCTGACATTGTGTATCAGTGTGTCCCCTCATGGTATTGTCCAGTGGCCCTGAAGGCCTGCAGGGTGGAGAAGCACTGCTTTGCCCAGACATCCTGAGACCAAGCCTCACTGAATCCCTGCAGCCTTCGTTCCTGTTGTTCTTAGCCACTGAGTAGAAAGTTAAGAGTCCAGTAGAGCGCAGAAAGGTTTTATTGGTCAGAACAGCAGGTGGCTGTTCATTTAATCACCTTCAACCTGCCAGAGCTTGGTCGCATTGCCCCAGAAAACCACAGGAGCTGTGAAATGCCCTTAGCTATGTGTCTAGGTGCACAGGGAACACACATATTGGTGCCTCTGCCACGGGGGACATTTGAGCCCACCATAACCCAGCTTACCTAAGTGCTTACCTCGCCACTTCTTGTGTGACTAATGCTGCTTCCTGATCTGCCCTCAGCTTCTTCCCTCTCTCCATAACCTCTCCTGCCCATGCCTCTGCTCTGGATCTTAGGGTCTTCTGCTCCCTCCGAGTCCAGTGGAGAACACTGAATGATAAGTGGCCACACACAGTGCTAGCCACCTCTCTAGTGGGCTTTCCAGGGAGAGGGCCAACCCAGTCCTGCAGTCACCAGGTAGAACAGCAGAGGTTTCCGGCTGGTGCAAAGAGCTGGGATGATTGCTCTGTCCGCAGGGAAAGGAGAAGGTGCATCTGCACTCTGGCAGGGAGCAGAAAACCACTCAGAGGACTGAGAGCACTATGAAGCCAGGGTGGGAAGCCCACCCCACTGCCAGTGAACTGAGCCGCAGATGCTTCTGGTGTGTATGGTGACCCCAGAAACCCAGAGAAACAAAAAAAAAGAAAAAAAAAAAGCAGAGAGAGGAAAAATCTTCTAGGCTAGGAGATGCTTTGGCCAAGGGGGATCTATTCTTTCAGGTTCTTCCTCACGCCCAACCTCTTCTACTACAAGTAAAACTGATGAAGCCAAAAATTCTGTCTTTCTGTACTGTTTTGCAATTATTATAGAAATTACAGAAAAGCAGATAAACAATTGTGAAAGGAACACTAACTTTTTGATAGACTCCTCATAATCAGGCCAGGATGTTTTGCCCTGCCAGAGGCTAAGAGTGGCACTCAGACAGGGGCCTGGGCCCATCTTGCCATGCTTGCCAACTGACCAACCTCTTTCCTGCTGTTCTTGGGCTGCATTCTAGCAGACAGTAATGCATGTGTGAACACAGCACCTGACACTGCTTGGCCACGTTGCCGGAGTCACTAGGCTGAGTCGTGGTCTCTGTAATACTAGCAGTCACTGAACATCTGTTCTGAGCAGATTCTCTGCCCACAGTTCCTCATTGTATCAATTAAATGCATCCCATGACAGGCAATAGGAAGTCTAGATTAAACTGATAGGAGAAAACCAAAACAACCAAAATAATGCAGGATACACAGGGTTCTTGCAGGTGAACACATCCAAAGCTGTCATGGTTCACAGAGTCACCTGTAGGTACAATGTGGTCAAAGCCGTGGCTCCTGTTGTCTACAATTTCTCAGATTTGTGCCCGGATGTGTATCCATTTTAAGTTGGCAAATAAGGCTGCAGCCACTCAAACCTCCCAGTTACACATTACAACCCATACAGCATATATGCATAAAACTCATACGTGGATATGTATGCGACACATGCATATAATGTGCATATACCTATGCACACTTACTACAATTATACATACAACTCATACAACATAGGTAAGGCTTAGAGGAGATATATAGGAAGCAATCACAATACCCTATTCTTAGTCTATTGGGCTAGTCCAGCAGCACTCTCATGATACAATTAAGGAAACTGGGGCTCTCAGAAGGTAACTAACTCTTCCATCATCACTCAATGGTACAACGGCATCCAAAACCTGGCTGATTCTAGAGCCATGCTCTCTCTGCTATGCATGGAGATGCTTTGGCCAAAGGAGTTCTATTCTTTCAGGTTCCTCCAACAGTTATGAAGCATAAGCCCCATATATTGCAACATAATAACTTGTGAGCTCTCTTAGTATCGGGCAAAGAACAGCACCTCTTCTGCCAGTGAATAGAAGGCTTCACAACTGCATTCATGACATAAGATTTCTTAGACAGGAAAGAAAATGTTTATTTCAGAGGAGAAAATGTCCCCTTGATTGGTTACTGGGCATGGGGAAGGGGGTGTTGGTTCATTTCTTTGGAGAGCCAGAGAGTACTGTCTAATGCTGGGACATCAGTCTAGCCCCTTCTCTTCGCTACAAGCACGGTAGTTCCTCTTAACACAGGTTCAGCAGACAAAGGAGATGTGCTGTGCGATCACTGTTGTCAATCTGCTGAGGTAAAATAAAACTTCAGAACTCCTGTAATGAGCTATGTTATAGGAGTCCAGATCAGCTGACAGCTGATGGACTCAGTAGAGAACACATTCAGGGCTCTTGGAAATGTTTGTCATGACAGAAAAAGGCTGAGAAACTTTATGCTGGATCCGAGCAGAGCCCGAGTGTAAAGGCCGTGTGTCTAACCCCGGGTGGCTTCTCGGCAGCACTTTAGCTGTGGCTCTCCTGGGTCCTCTTCTTCCCTTCCAGCGAGCCCCACAAGGTGTGTTCCACAGCATTCATCAGACAGTTGTGAAGGGAGAACGAGAGTGGCCGTTTCCTTATCCTTTGAGCTGTGCTGGGTGAGGTAGCAGGAAGACTCCTGTGGCAGAGACTGGTGGGGACTTTCTCACTCCCCAAGTTCTCTCTCTTTGCCTTTCAGAAATGAACCGGCACCACTATGCCCTGTACTTACACAACTGCCGCCTTGTCTTCCTCTTGCGGAAGGACTTTGACCAGGCCGACACCTTTCGCCCTGCAGAGTTCCACTGGAAGCTGGACCAGGTGAGCACCTTCCCACTCACAGCTCTACAGGGGGCTGGCCCATTCCTGCGCAGATGCAGTGGGAGGAGCCTGGAGTTCTGGTCACTCGCTGTTTTAGGACAGTCCACTCAGGGGCATACAGTCCTTTACAGTAAGGATGGAACTTTCCCCCTTTAAGACAGTTGGTGGAAGGAGGGCCACCCTTACTGGTGAAGGCTGACAAGCAGTGAACATGGCTGTGAACACCACGTGGACTCTGCTCTGTGATGAGCTCATGGGAAGCACTTTTCCTAGTCCCAGCCCCTTCCTGACCTTTGTGGCACATCTTCGTATGATAAGTGCTCCATGTCTCCCCCTCAGTGCTCTACTGCCTCCTTTGGTGGCAGTTCTGCTTGCTCTTGGTGACAGGAAGTTCAGAATAAGGACCTGAGGATTTGAAGTCAAAGTGGCAGAGCATTGTGGGTAGCGAGTGCTCTTTTATGAAGTAGAAAATCAGACCATGTCCAGAGCCTTATAACTCCCGATCGCAGGGGCACTGTGCAGCGCCTGTCAGTCACGCGTGTCGGAAGTGTGCTTCCAGGGACTTGCAGTTCTGAGACTGCGGAGGTGCTCTCACTTTGTCCTAGCTCGGTCTCACAAATCCTGTCCTGCTGGGTCCCAGAATTCCAAAAAGACGGCATCTTGTACTCTGTGCTCCTGTGCTCCTTCTGTCTTCTTGTTACTCCATCTCTACCCTTTCTTCTTCCTAAATCCCCAGGCCTCCAATGGTGCCAGGCTAGAATTGTTCATTCACTCTGAATGTGTGCTACTATGTCCATCCTCCCAGAAGCATACACGACTCTCTTCAAGGCAAGATCCAGTCACCATGATGGTGCCCTTATTGATGGCACTCCAGGCAGGGTTATAGTGTCAAGGATGCCAAGCTGAGGGGACCCACACTTGAGGGCCATTGCCTAGCTCCCTCCCACAAATCCTGTCCAGCTGGATCCCAGAATTCCAAAAGAACAGCATCTAGAGTAGTCTGTGCTCCTCTGAGCTAAGAACTCTAGTTCTTGCGGTAGTCGTGAGATCTTGACATTGTTTATACGATTTCTCAGCAGACTCACAGCTACGTCCTAAAGGGCCAGATGGCTTTTCTGAGATATTTTAAAATACATAATACAAAGTGAACTAAAATAAATTCCATATCATGAGGGTTATTTTAATAAGAACATTGCCATACTGGTGAAGATAATTATAGATACCCTGCAGCGTTTTTTGAGATGGGATTGAGAAACACAGATATAGGCAAATGAAGTCACAGGGTTTGGAATTTAAAATAGCAAAGCAGGAGTTCTGGTTGTACATATAAATACATAGTAAATCTAACAAATCTGAGATCTCTTCCTAAACTGGTAAGCTGAAGGGGATGTGGCGGGGGGCTGAGAATCACGAACATCTTTCAAGCTATTCTGGTCTCACTGGCATTCACTTGCCGGAGAGTGGCTGCTCAGTGCCAGGCACATGGCCCATGTGAGACCATCCTTGGACTTGCTGAGGGTCACATAGCAAGCCACGACCAGCAGCGCCCCTTGCCATCAGCAAGGCTGCTTCTGTGTTAAGCATGTGCTAATTTAAAAATTAAACATTTTTGAAGGCAAAATTTACAGTGAAATTATCAGTGAAATACAAAATGTAGTCTGAAGGAGACTCTGCAATTGTCAAATCTTCACTTTGTTCAAACTCTGAATTTATCTTTGTTTTAGTCTGCATAGGAGGCCATAACAAATACTTCAGACTGGGTGGCTTAAACCAAAGAAATTTGTTTTTGCACAGTCAAGGAGGCTGGGAAATCCAAGATTAAGGTACCTTCCAACTCAATTCTGATGAGGGCTCCCTTCTTGGCTTATGGAGGACCTTCTTCACACTGTGTCCTTACATATCAAAGAGACAGACAGACTGACTGACTGACTGACTGACTGACTGACTGACTGACTGGGTTAGGGAGAGAGAAAGCATGCACTATAGATCTTCCTATAAGGAATCAGGACTATCAAACTATATCCTCTTTTGACCTCAACTGCCTCCTAAACACCCTATTGCTAAATGTATTGGTAGTTAATGTTTCAAGGTGAATTTTGGAAGTATGCAATTTAGTTCATAGCATGTCTGTACTAAAGAAACTAATATTTTTAATAAAGACAATTTGGGGTGTTTAATAGATCAATTGCAGAACACTTTCCTAGCATGTACAAGGCCCTGAGTTCCATCCTTATCCTGGCAAAAAGGAGGAGGAAGAGGAAGGAGAGACAGACAGACAGACAGACAGACAGACAGAATGATAGACAGAGATGAGACAGAGAGGAGGCAAAGAAGGAAGGAAGGAAAGAAGGACGGAAAAGGAACATATTGATGATCAGAAGCCCCAGCCCACCTAGACAGCTGTCCTTCCTGAAGAAAGCCAGAGAATAGGACATAAGGAGTTAGGCATAGGAGACCTCGATAGTGAACATGCCAGCAATTCAATAGTCTAACTTGATCCATCCTCTTTACCCAGCTCCCTGATGGTCAGAGTCTTACCAGAAGCCTCTTGAATAACAAATCACAACCTATCTGCAATATATATACCTAGTAAAGCTTCCTCCTGGGGAAAGTACCCAGGAACACCCTTTGGGGGCTTTTCCTTTTTGCTCCACTCCTCAGACTCCATGCAGAACTCTATCCCAATAGTTACTCTACTGTAATCATCTGTCTATCTGCTTACTTTGAGTTGAAATCCAGGTGCAGGACTGCATTTTACTCATGCTCGAATATTCAGTGCATGTGGTAGCCATGAGCCTGTACTTGATCCCTAGCTTGACTAACAGTGAATAAACATTGAGGTCAAGAGAAAAGAGAGATAAAGTAAGGCAGGGCAAGAAGAAATTACATAGATTACTAGTCAGCTTTTCTGTGGCTGTGGCAAAATACCCGGTACCCACAATGTAAAGGCTCACACTTCAAAGGGATACAGACCGTGGCCAGCTGTCTCCAAGGCCGAGACTTAATGGTGGGAGAGTATGGTAGAGTAGAGATGCTCAGTTCATGGTGACTAGAAAGCAGAGCATCGGGACAGGGCCAATGGCAGACAACAAAGGGCAGAAGTCTCGAGCCAGATGCCCAGGGCCAGACTCACCCAGAAATCAGAAGTGTGCTTGGCCAGTCCTCTGAATGGCTCCCAAGGCAATCAAGTTAGCAAATCACCTCAGCCATCACAAGAAGGGGGAAAAATCTAGGGATCTTTTTTAAAACATCGTAGCTTCTAATTAATTTTTTCCTTTTCCTTTTTTTTAAGTGCATATTTTTAATACAATACAATAATGTTAGGGAAAATTGGTACATGGTAATGCACTTGCATAATTGCTTTTGTTTTGTTCTTTGGAGTACTGGGAATAAAGCCAGGACCTTCACGTTGAGCAACGTATCTCCAGCTCTTTCTAAAAAACTTTTTGTGACAGTCTTGCCAAGTTGGAAAGTTGCCCAGTCTAGTCTCCAACTTACTATTCTCACGATTCAGCCTCCTGGAGTGCTGGGATTCTCAGCATGTGTGCTGTGTGTGGCTCTGGTTAACTGTAACCCTGGCCTGCCCCCTCCCCTGGTCTCCTTACGCATTTGAAAGTCTACCTTCTGGTTTCTAGTCTCTCTGCTTTTGATTCATTTGACTGAGTATATTAAAACATTGCCATTGTTTACTTTCCATATTGCGAATATTGTTTATCTTTGGTCTTGATATGTTGTTTCAAAGTTTGAGCTGAGTTTTCTGTAAAAAGTCTGGAGCTGGCCTTAACCCCAAAGGACTCAGTCTAGTGCGCACTGTATATTGAAACTCCTGGCCCACCTGGAAATTCCAGAACCATCCTACGTCTTAATGCCTGAGGATGCTCATTTCTTTCTATAGTCAGCAGCTTATTCTAGGGACAAACGATGTGTGAGGCTCTGCACTGGGAACCTGGAATCAGCAGAAGAAATAGGAGCACTAGTCTCTAGAAGTATCCAAGGACTAAGGAAACATATACACATCTTACAGGTTCTGCACCAGATGCTGGGGTAGAAGGCAGGGACCAGGCTTGGAAACCTGTGCAGCAGCATCTGATAGAGATCTAGGGTTAAGGGCTCACATTTTAAGGGGATTTAGACCATGGTCAGCTGTCTCCAAGGCAGACACGTGATGATGGAATGGTGTGGCAGAGCGGAGATGCAAAGGAAATCCTTAGGAGGGATACCTGGATGGAGGGCAGAGCTTTCCAGGGTAGGATCAGGCATCCAAGACAGCAGAGGGCCAGGGACAGTCATGGGGTGAAAGGAAGAGCTATTGAAAGTGTTGGGACCTAAAGTGTGGGGCAACTGATGAGAATTAAATCAAAGGTAGCTTTTTAAATTATTGAGTTGATTCTTTATCTCCAAAAGAGCCACAATTAAAGAATCTGTTATTCACTAGGAAAGCATGCCTGCTCAGAATGAGCAAATGTGAAGAATGCTACTATGACATTTATCAATTTAAACAAATATAACTCAAGCCACGCCATCCAGTGGGGCCAGTAAAAATGTTGATAGAAACACTCTCTGACTTCCTGTTCCTTTGTCCATGCCAGGAAACCCAGCACTACACAGGAGTTTGCACAGTCAGCTCCTCACAGCCTTGAAACCAAGCACAGATAGGGGATTATTTCCATACAGCTTTTCTGCAGTGGCCCAGTGAGTAAAGCAGTTGCCCTAGAGCTGCTGTGTGGTTTCAGCCCTGTGGTTCCACACTTTGGAAGGCAGTTGCCTGGGTCCATAGAATAGCTGAGTCCTTCCAATATCAGGCGGCTCCAGAAAAATGCCTCTGACAATCCAGTGCATCTCACTAGAATGACTATGGGCATGAAGAATATCATTCCTGCAGGATCTCTACTTCTGATCTGATAATGCAAATCCCTTGAGCCTGCAATTAGTCATGTGTCCACCCAGACACTAGCAAAGGAGATCGCTCTGCTGCCATCACGGCAGGAAAGGCTTATTAA